GAGAGGGGGGAGGGGACTGCCATGCAACGTTTGCAAAGGCAGTCTGGTTAATCATTATGTATGATTCGCCACGCGAACTCTGTTATTTGTCTGTTTCATGTTGTCATCTTATGTTTTCTTGTGTTCTTTTCCTTTTATTTCCTTTTCTTTTTTTTTTTTTTTTTTTTTTTTTTTTTTTTTTTTTTTTTTTTTTTTTTTTTTTTTTTTTTTTTTTTTTTTTTCAAATATGGGTTCTCGAATATTTGTAGTAGTCTCATGTATTTATACATATTCTTTTTCTTTCTTAGTTTCCTTTCTGGTAGGGAAGAGGGTCGTGAAGTTGTTTCATTAAAAATATTAATTTGCCAAGAGATGATCCCTTTATCTGCAAGGTCGGAATTTATAGAGGGTCCCAGCTCATATATAGATAAGGGTTTATTTCAACAAAAAAAAGATGGATAATAAAGGGAACTTGTTTTCATGTAACTATCTTACACTAAACGTGAGGGGAATTAGAGATAGAAGCAAACGAGAAAAAATGTTTAATTGGTTTAGGACAAAGTCTATAGATATAATATACTTACAAGAAACATACAGTACACCTGATATCGAAAAGAAATGGCAATTGGAGTGGGGCGGGAATTGTATCTTTAGTCATGGTACAAGCCACAGTAGAGGAGTTTTGGTATTAATAAATAGTAAGTTAGACATTGAAATTAGTGACACTTGTGCAGACATAAATGGAAGATATTTATTGATTAGATGTAATATACAAGGTCAGAAGATGTTGCTAGGAAATGTTTATTTTCCTACTGGAAATAACGAAGGGGAGCAAATAAAATGTTTAATGGATTTAAGGGAGTTGTTGTATAGAAACAATTCAGAAGGGAACCCAGTAGTTCTTGGAGGTGATTTTAATGTTATTAGAGACAAGAACTTAGATTATTTTGGACAAGTTACAAAGAAGCAATCAAAATTCAGTAGCAAATTAGAAGAATTCATGGATGAATTTAGATTAAGAGATGTATGGAGAAATAAAAATAAAGATAAAAAACAATATACTTATAGACAAGGGAATCCATTTATGCAAAGCCGTTTGGATTATTTCATTATATCAGAGAATTTAGAACAGATAACATCCAAATGTGACATTATTCCCTCCTTAGCACCCGACCATTCAGCTGTTAATTTGGTTCTGCATGATAGAACGTCTGGACAATTTCAGGGTAAAAGGGGTTATTGGAAGTTCAATAATAGCTTGGTAAATGATAGAGACTATGTTTTAAAGATGAAGGAAGAAATAAAGACTTTAAAGAACAAAATGTTATCTGAGATAAAAGACAAGAGAGTATTATGGGACTATATCAAAATGGAAATACGCAGGTTTACAACTAAATTTTCAAAGAAAAGGGCAAGGGAAAGGAAGGAAAAAATAGAAAAGCTAGAAAAAGAAATTGAAGACTTGGAAGAAAATCTACTATCAATCAATAATGTACATTATAAAGATATCCTTGAACAACTGAAAATTAAGAAACAACAACTAAGAGTATTTTATGACTATATTAATGAAGGTTTAAAAATACGATCAAGGGCCTCTTGGTATGAATGTGGAGAGAAGAATACAGCATTTTTTAAACAGCTCATGGAAGCAAATAGAAAGAAAAGTGTAATACAGAAATTAAACGTAAACGGAAAGATTGTTACTAAGGAAAAAGAAATTGTCGAGGGAATAAAACAGTTTTACAGTCAGTTGTATAAAAAAAAAGAAGTTGTACTAGATGGAGGTTTAGAATTTTTCCCTAGTAACATGCCAAAATTGAACGAGACCTTAAGGGGTTTAGGTGAAGAAAAGATAGTAGAAAGGGAATGTATAGAAATATTAAAAAATATGAAATTAAATAAATCACCAGGAAATGATGGCTTAAGTGTAGAGTTTTATCTTAAATTTTGGCCGGTAATTGGAGATCTAATCCTTGCATCTTTTAATGAAGCCTTTAATCATGGAGAACTATCGGCCTCTCAGAGACAAGCAGTTATCACCTTGATACATAAAAAAGATAAAGATTCAGACTTTATTAAGAATTACAGACCGATTTCTCTTTTAAATGTGGATTATAAAATTTTAACAAAGATACTTTCAAAGAGATTGCAAGAAATTTTACCTGATATTGTATCTTCTGATCAACTTGGATATGTTAAGAATAGAAACATTGGAGAAGCCATAAGAATAATAGATGACATGATTTTTCATACTTCTTTTTATAAGGAAAATGCTTTTTTGATGGCCTTAGATTTTGAAAAGGCATTCGACTCTGTTTCTCATTGTTTTCTATACAAAGTCTTAAATTCATTTGGGTTTGGACCATTGTTTTGTAAATGGGTGAATATACTTTATACTAATACTGAAAGCTGTGTTATGAATGGAAACGCATCAACAGGTTATTTTAAAGTTGAAAGAGGAATTAGACAAGGAGACCCATTATCTCCATACCTGTTCATTTTATGCATTGAAATTTTAGCTCATACGATTAGAAACAATCAATTGGTAAAAGGAATTTGTTTTGGAAATACAGAAATAAAGCAAGTATTATATGCTGATGATATAACACTCTTCATCAAAGATATGAGTTCAGTTAAGGAAATAGAACACGTTTTAGAAGGTTTTTATAAAATATCAGGATTAAAGTTAAACAAGGATAAGACATATATTCTGCCCCTGGGCCCACAGGTGTCTAATAACATATTTCCGTTTGGGAAACTTGTAGATGCTGTTAAAATATTAGGTGTTTATTTTTCAGTTCATGTAGATATCAAGGAAAAAATGAATTATAAGGAAATATTGAGCAAAATTAAAAAACTACTGACGTGGTGGAAACAGCGTGACCTAACTTTAATGGGTAAAATTCAATTGATGAAAGTATATGGATATTCTAAATTGACATATGTAACATCACTAATGCCAGTTCCAGAGTGGGTATACAAAGAAATGGAAGTAATATGTTTTGATTTTTTGTGGAGAGGTAAAGATAAAATTAAAAGAAGTACAATGATGTTAGACTATCAGCAGGGTGGGCTCAAAATGATGAATTTTAGGTTGTTTGTAAAAGCACAAAGAATAATGTGGATAAAAAGGCTTGTAACAGGAACTCATGATATCAAATGGAAACAATACTTTAAATATTTAATGAGACCGATAGGAGGTAATTTAATATTTTATTGCAATTATTGGAGAGATACAGTGAAACTTATGTTACCTTCCTTTTATCAGAATCTTCTGAAAGCATGGATAGATATGAAAGAATATGTTAAAACAGAAGAGAGATACAAAGGGAATGAAATATTGTATAATAATAATTTTATTCAACTAGAAGGTCAAACCTTATTTGAGGAAACTTTGTTTTTGAAAAATATATATCGAATTCATCACATTTGTGAAGAAAATGGAGAATTGAAACCTGAAGCTCATTTTATAATGTTAGGTTTGAGCAGAGTGGAAATTGATAAAGTAAAACAAATTTATAACGTAGCCCCTTATGAATGGAAACAGAATGTTCAACCTTTAAGAAAAGCAATTCACACTGGCTTTAGTTTAGAATTTATTTTTTCAAAGAAAGTGTTTACATTTGAAGATTTAACTGCAAAAATGGTATATAAGAGTCAAATTAAAAAGAATGTAGAAACAAACTCGGCAGGCGGCAATTTAATGACACTTTACAATATTCCAAGAAAAGAAGTAGAAAAGATATATGTTCAACCAAGGATGTGTACCTTAAGTAGTAAACTGCGAGAATTTCAGTTCAAATTATTGCATAATATTTTATATACAAATCATCATTTACATAGATTCAGGTTCCATGAAAATGGTTTGTGCTCATTTTGCAAAAATTTTGAAGAAACTTATCAACATATATTCTTTGAATGTAATACAATAAAGGAAGTCTGGGGGAAATGTGGAGATAGACTTAATTTACCAATTTTGAAGAAATTATCCTGGAAAGAAATTCATATAGGAATAGATGACACTACATTTAAAACAGAGCAATTATTGAACCACATTTTAATTTTGATTAAATATATGATTTTCCACAGTAGAGAGAAGGGAAACCCTCCAAAAGCAAAAGAAATAGAATATAGATTGTTGGAAAATAGAAATGAAGAGAAGGAACTTTCAATGGAAAGAGACACACTTTCAATTCATTTAAGGAAATGGGAAGCTTTGGAAAGTTTAGAATAAATGTTTTCAGTTTTTTTTTTTTTTTTTTTTCTCTCAATATACAACTTCCTGACCCTCCCTCTCTTCTCTTTTTTTTTTTTTTTTTTTTTTTTTTTTTTTTGTTGCTCGTTCTATGTCAGCGTGTGTTTTGTATACTGTTGTACATGTTATGTGTTTAAATGTTGTGTGGGGTGGGGGGGTAGTAGGTGTTTTGTATACTGTTGTACATGTTATGTGTTTAAATGTTGTGTGGGGTGGGGGGGTAGTAGGTGTTTTGTAGCTTTTTCCCTTTTTTATATATATAATTTTTTTTTGTCTCCAAAGGAAAATGAAGAGGTGTAACTTTTGTATGTAAATGTAAAAGATCATTGGTAAATTTATAAAGACCTATGTTAAATTATTTTGTTATTTTGTATCCAATGTATTATGTTATAAATGTACAATTTTCTTTGAGAGAAACGAATAAAAACCTATGAAAACAAAAAAATGCTTGAGCGCACATTTTCATTATGCGTACGTGTTGTGGGAATGTGTTTATGTATTTTTAATACTGCTTATTGCAAACTAAACAGTCAAACACGTTCTTAAAGTCAAGACTCGGTTCATGAATTTAAAGATCAGATATAAAGTGAAAAATTTAACGTTTATGTTATTGTTATATATTAAATCATATTATATTATATTATATATTATTATATTATAATAAACATTATTATCATTATTACAAATACTATTATTACTCATTTTATTATTACTACTACTACGACTTGTATTTATAATTCTAATAAACTTTGATTACCTGACCCAGGTGTTGCATTGTCTAATGGTGATGTGTGGAAGGAGCAACGTCGCTTCTTTCTTTCCGTCTTCAAAAGAGCTGATGCCAAGGGTATCAGGTAACAAATGATTTTTTTTTTTTTTTTTTTTTTTACTACAAGGCCTTTCACTGGTTGTGCCTTTTCAACCCTTATATTTCTATTTTTCCACCTACCTACCATCTTCCCTCCAGCTACAGCCCGAGACCGATAGCCCATGAGAACAACACTCCCCTAGATCGACGGTCCACAAGACCGTCGGTTTAACGCACCTTCTGCTTAAGATCCAGAAGGCCCATCGCCCTTCAATTTGGCCTTCTGGGAACCTTTTTCGATGGTTCACTACTTTTCGGTCTCGTGGTCTGTCGGTCTACAGGGATGTCCCATTTCCTCCCCTATTCTGACTCTCCGCAACACTCTTATTTTCTCTTATTGTGATAGTCTTATCTTGGTTTTGTAATAATGTTTTGTAGTCGATGCGACTCATTTAAATGAATTTATATAATTTAATTTACCAAATGATTGAATAAATAGCAAAAAAAAAAAAATTAACAGTGATTGAATAAATGAATAAATAACTAAAATAACCTAAAATGGTGCTGATCTGTATTTTCTTCTCTGTATAGATTTGAGGAAATCGTCGGAGCACAGGCAGAGCGTATGTTGACCGAAATAGAAAATACCCAAAGTGCTCGTTTTGATCCACAGCCAATAATATATACCTCCATCGGCAACATCATCACAAAAATCGTGACTGGTATCACTTACGATTACGACGATGACGATTTTCATCGCTTTATGACACACTCCAATCGTGTTTTGGACCTGATGGGACCAGCTGGAATACTAGCTTCGGTACCGATACTCGCTGTCCTCCCGTCACCTGCAAAACGTCAACTAACGAAGGAATGGGATGCGATGTACGACTTCATCAAGAAAAGTATTGCGAGCCACAAGTCAGAGTTTAACCCCAACCAAGAGGCAGCTGATTATATTGAGAGCTATCTGCACGAAATAGCAAAAAGAACGACAGAGGTAGGCCTACGAATCTGTTGGATCCATCTGCACAGCATTCTCTATTTTTATTCCTGATTATTTTCACATAACCCGATCACAAAGACTTTCAAGAAATCAATACAAGAAAATTTTCATTTCATTGTACGTCGTACTGGAGACCCGTTTCACAAAACCTTTTTTTTCAATGAAAAAAAAAATCAGTGACAAATCTGCTGATAACCAATCAGAAGCAAGGATTTCACTAGCTTATAACAAAAAACTGTCATTTGTCCCTGATAACAAGTTTTGTGAAATGGGGCCCCGATGTTCATATACTTTAATAGGAGATGAACTAAATATTTAAATTGACATTGGTTGATTTGTCGAAACTCGTTGTGATCATGTTTTTCGTACGCACACAAACAATTAAAACGATCGCAAACACTTTTCAAATCAACCTTAGAGGCAAATTCAATAGCATTGTCTGTCATCTGTGGAAAAATTCAAAATTTACTATGATTCTATGATATGCAATTCTTTAATGATTTATGTAGGCAATACATCACATATTGAAATCGTGCTAAAGTCAATATCTTAAAAATTGTTTACAATCGTGTTTAATGTATTTCGAAGGGTGGCGGGTCACTGCTGTTCACAACCATCTTCTTTATTTTTATTTATTTATTTATTATTATTTTATTATTATTATTATTATTATTATTATTATTTTATTTTATTTTATTTATTTATTTATTTATTTTTATTTATTGATTTATTGATTTATTGATTTATTGATTGATTTATTTATTTATTTTATTTTATTTTTTTTTTTTTTTTGGGGGGGGGTTCTTTTCTCGAAATCTCACATTTGTTCTTGCTTCATTTGCTCCTAGCTTGGCTTTTTTGTTGGCATTTTCGTGTTGGTTATATTACGCACAACCAGCCGGCCCATGTATTGTTATTATTAATTAATTGATTAACTAACGGTCAACGTATTTTTGTGAAAGTAGAGCTGAATTGGTATGATCGTATTCGCTAAATTTCACAAATTTTGGGGTCTAAAATTACCTCCAAAGCAATTTTAGGTTCTAAAAGGGCACTAGAAATGTCATAGATAAGAATAAGAGCAATAACCATGCACTTTGAAGGCATTTGCGGTCTGAAAACAGAACTCAACCATCCCTTTAAACTCACTATTACCAATGTATACACGTCAGAGCATACAAACCAAGTTGACAAGGTTAATGGTTCTAAGCAATTTTGTGCTGAACAGTGTCATGATGGTGCGCTGATCCCACCAACCCCAAATTCTGAATTTACCCTGCTTTCGACATGTTGCTTGAATGATTTCGCGGTGAAACCCATGAGCAGTTTCTGTTGTTTTCAACCAGTAACCTAGACGAACAGTGAATATGACGTTAGCACTTCGGTACTCTAGAAGAAAACAAATTTACAAAATAATATTTTTCAACTGTTTTTGTTTTAACAAAGAATAACAAAGGCTCCTTTGATGAAATCAATCTCTTGGCATGCTCATTTGATTTGATTGTTGCTGGATTGGAGACATCAGCCACCTCTATCTCCTGGAGCCTCCACACCCTGGCATGCTATCCCGAAGCACAACATCGAGTCCGTCAAGAGATCTTTGACGTCATCGGCCAGGAACGTGATCCGCGTTTCTCCGATCGTCACCGGATGCCTATAGCCATGGCAACCATCGCAGAATGTATGCGTTTGCGACCAGCTATCGATCTCCATATTGCCCGCGTCGCCGAACAAGATTGTCAGGTTGGCGAGTACGACATTCCAAAGGGGAGTGTGGTCACGACAAACATGTCCCATCTATTCCTCAGTCCCTCTCTCTGGGAGGAGCCACTGGAGTTTAGACCAGACAGATTCCTGACTGAGGATGGGCAGTTTGATAGGAAACGTGAACCAATCTTTTTTGGAACAGGTAAGTGAAATTTTTACTGCGAATTGAGTGCTTATATGTTAGTGACCGCATATCATCTTCCCCAGCTAAACTTACAACACTAGCGAAAATTGTGTTGACTACTTCCTCATGGAAACTAACGATTATACAAAGTGTAGCAATAGACAGTCTATAGTAATAATGGTTATGCCTATTTACCCATGGTAGCCACATCAGTATTAATACTGCTCTTCCTGTGTGCCCCACAATTAGTATTACCACAACGTTTGCAGGTACCCATTAACACATATGTCGAGAGGGACAAAATATGTGGGCAAAACACCTTGTCCAAGAAGATAAGCACCAAGCGAGGACCGAAATCAAAACCTCTCGTAATGAGAGTCAGGAGCCTTTACAAACACATACATATCAGGCACGTAGCCAGAGTTTGATGTTTTTGGGGGGGGGGGCACAAACATGTAATCGATCGAGGTAAAAAAAGTTCAACCGATCTCGGGAATTTGGGGGCACGTGCCCCCCCCCCCCCCCCCCGTGGCTCCGTGCCTCCGTGCCTACATACAATACACCACACTCTTCACAATGTAGTTGTCAATGCTTATACCTCTTTGTATTTTAATTCATTTGCTGGTTCGTCTTTTCTTAGGTCGAAGGGTATGTCCTGGAGAGCAGTTGGCAAGGACCGAGATTTTTCTCTTCATCACCTCCATCTTGCAGCGTTTCACCCTCAGTCTGGCTGAAGGCGTTCCAAAAGATCTACCGTGCTACCATAGTATTACCAATCGACCGGATCCTTACCAGATACACGCTGAAAAAATCGTGTAGCTCTTACAGTCACGTTCCCCAACTTTGAATATCTACATCGCAAGGAAAGGCGACTGTCCGCGATAGTGTCACGTGTATTGCGCCTTTGGAACAACCAAAATATCTAAGGGCAAGTCCGAGCTAATTTGTAAAATACGTTACCGAGCACATCTAAAATATAAATATACCTGATAACTGTTTCAAACTGATAGCCCAACTACAGCTTCAATCATATTCACTATTGGATAATGACATTCAAGAATAATTGGTAACGTAATGCGATATACCTTGGACTTTGCTCATAACATTAATATCTTACGTTTTTGCTTCTTTCGGTGTGTATATAATCTTATATATTCCTTTTTGTTATCAATATAGTGTTGTACATTAAGTGTATATTTATGTTCCTTTATTTTTTTCTCTTTAATTTTACTTTTACTTTTCTGTATGTAATTTAATTTGGAAATGATTATCCTTTTAAACATTTTATTGATATAAAATGATATATATATATTATGACTCGAGCGAGTTTGTAGGTGGTTTACCCACTGACCAAGTTATGGGATGAATATACAGCGAACGTGTGACAAAGATCGACTGTTGCAGGCCGATGTTCATTTCATTTGTCAACCCAAACCCGTAAAGATTTGAAAGGAGGTGCGTTCTTTATATTAGGTTACAGCTGTTAACACTTGTGGACGCACAGGTTACACAATATACAAATTACGAGGCGCGGATCCAGGAGTTCTTAGGGGGGAGGCCCAAATTTGAAATCAATTTGAAATTTAGTGTGCTGAAATTTGAAAATCGTGCCGGCCAATATTTCGCTTAGCGAATGGGGGGGGGGGGGGGGTGGCAAAGTGAGCGTGTTTTTTATACTTAACATCCCCCACCCCCTTTAACTAAAAAAAATAAAAAGAGGTAAACTTTTGGTCACAATTATTTTTTTTGTTTTTTTAATTTTTTTTGGCCAGGGCGGGCAAGGGCCGCTCAATTCCCCCCCCCCCCTTGCACGGCACTAATATCTCTTGGCAAGCTACGAACCTGCAATTGCTACTCTATACTCTGGTGTTAAATGGGTATCCGGTAGGATGCGACCGTTGGTCAAACAGTTTCTGAGCGTAAAGTAACGCCTGGCTGGAATGCTCCCCAGTGAGTGGAGATTGTGCACACAGTGTGTGCGGGCAAGCACTAGATCTAATGATCGGGTATAGCGCTTAGAGACATTGTTTTAAGCGCTATCTAAAAGCTGAAAATTGTCATTGTATTATTATTATGTGAATGCGGTGTTGATATTCGGTATGATTATTTTATCTCATCTGAACAATGTTACCAAGTCCCAATAATTGTGATTGCAGTTTAAATGTTTTACATTACACAGGGCTATATGCTATTTGTAATCTATTTTTTAAATTTTTTGTTTAAATTGAACCGGCATTACATTGTTAAAGGTTGATGAGAAAAACTGCGTAATTTTTGTATGAAATGTTATTACATTCCTTTTAGTGTATTAGCTCTTTGACATGCAACAAATTCCGAAAAAAATTCTCAAACCAAAAATATCTTTATTATATGGTTTTCTTTGAAGGCGTCAATGTTCAATCCCGTCTACTAAACAAAATGTTTTCATTATCTCACAACAAAGGTACTTTGTGTAGCGCTCTCTGCAACAAAACTCAACTCAGCAAGAAACTGCTATATCAGTAGGCTTACTCTAGATTTCATCCCGTACCACAGGAGATTTGTATTCCGCCATCTACGTTTAAAGCCGGTAAAGTTGCAGTACTTCCTCTGACCATGTTGACTGAAAATAATAATTTTGTTTGGACCTTTACCCAGGGAATCTTCATCTTCAGCATCAATGCTGTTCTTCCTAAAGGGCCCTGCAATTATTATTACTCTAACAATTACCATTTTCCCTTTTTTATTTTCATCTGGGTGGAGAGTGGCAAATATGGATTAATGTCTTGCCGAAGGATATGTTGGTGCCGAGCTGGGATTCGAACGCTTAAGTCAAGTAAATGAAGCACGTACCACTACACCTCCATGATTCTATGAAAATCAAATTCTTAGACCCGTATTCTACTGAAGTTTCAGTTGACGTTGGGTTAATCCTTTTGATAAAAATCAAGTATTACAAAGCAGCTTAATCTGCAGTCTGAGGTCTATTTTTTCTTTTTTTAATCGTGATTTTAGATCCAGGGTAGGGTTTTATATGAAAAGGTAGACTACGGACCTTTTTGCTTGTTGCCTTAAACGACTACATGCACCTTGACATTCTCCTTCTTCTTTTCCTCTCACTAGCAGTCATCACTTCTCAGTAATACGGATAAGAATCTTTATCACTTACAACAGTCAATCATTGTGACTTTGCCGGAAAATTCCCCGCACTGTCTCTGCATCAACGTCTTCCGACTCGAACGTTCAAGTGGATTGTCAAAATCAGAGATGATGCCCTTGAATCAGCCTAAATTCGAACATAAAAATGATGAGAACAAAAATAAAAAGACACGTATGATGAATTAGATAGAATTCTTATCATTAATATATAGTCCGTTTGCACTCAAACTTTTCAGATTATCTTTAATTGTACATCTAGCATTGAAGTCATTACCTTAGCATAATTTTCTCTCATCTGAACAATGTTACCAGGTCCCTTTAACCCTAATAAGGCCGGGGGGGCCATTATGGCCCCCCCCCCCTCCACGATTTTTCTGATTGCTCGGGAACGCATACGGATGGCGCCCCGCCACTCGCTGACTTTTTTCTTTAGAGTCTTGCGCAACTTTTAAAATAATTTTTTCACGTGACCTTTTGTCATTGCATGTCAGCCCTAAAATCGCTCATTTTCGTGATTTGTGTACAAAACATATGGAAAAGTCATTTTTCCTAAAAACAGATCAAACATGGGTTATTGGGTCTTGTTTAAAGTTTAGGTGGTTGTTTTGGGAGTCAATATAGTTGAATTGTAGTGAGAAATGAAATAAAACAACAAAAACAATGAAATACATAAGTTAAAAAAACAATGAAATACATAAGACATTATAAAAACAAGGGATAACATAAGAAATAAGCTGGCTCTTCCAAATGTTTTTGTCATATTATTATTCATAATGGTTTAATGAATATATGTAGTGAAAAAGAATGCTTAAATATGAATAATATATGATTTATGGGTAAAAATGTGATTTTTATGACTTTATTTGCATAAATTACCATAAATATGCAAATGAGTGAATTTTTCAAAAAATTGAAATTATCATATTATTCTATACACTTCACTTGACATGCGTGCAAATTTTCGCGGCGATCGGCCGCTTCGCGGCCGAGATCTTAAGGGGGGCCATAATGCCCCCCCCGGCCATACTCAGACCTCAAATAGCCCGGCCTTATTAGGGTTAAGAGGTATGGACATTCCTTGACATGCTAAGAGAGAGAGAGAGAGGGGGGGGGGGGGGAGAGAGGGGGGGGGAGAGAGAGAGAGAGAGAGAGGGAGAGGGAGGGAGAGAGGGAGGAGGAGGAGAGACTGATCGCTTTAAAAATGAAAAGAATTCGGCATGATGGGTCAGTGCTGTAAGCGAATCTCGGTAAATCGTGAATCCACAATTATGGATTCTTAAAAGCACGTTCAAATTAAACGGAAAAATCATAATTTCTTCGATATTGCCTGCCAAGTCTTCATGTGTTTCATAATCGAAAAATTTCTCAGGTACTGCCCCTATTTAATACCTTACAAATGACCCCCCCCCCCCCTTGTCCACGTTAAAAATCGCGTAAAGCGTTATTTTACAAAATGGTTTCCCAGTTAAAGAAAATGTGATCTATTTGCCCCGTCTATAAACGTTTCATCTCTCTGTTTTTAGTTGCCCCTTTATTTTTTTTCTGCACTCTTATGATGCAGCTTGTCCGCGCTTCTCTAAAATGCTTGTTTGCCTCTATCGTACATGTCTGTCTCGCTGCCTTGTCTGTCTGTATGTACATCTCTTCCTCCATTTCCCGTCTTATAATTCATCTCTGTCTCCTTTAGTTAATCGCGCTCTAGATCTATATCATTACCTTTTCTCTACCTTTTTCTTAACTTCATCAAAGCAGCATGACAATACAGTAGTCTGCAGGCCCGAAACCTTGTCAGTCATAGTGCTTAAAGGTAATAATAATAATAATAATAATAATAGCTAGTTCTTATATAGCGCTTTTCAGGACCGAAGGCCCTATCAAAGTTTGGACAATTTTGAAAATTGGCTGGATAGTGAATCTTTACAATTTTTAAATATTAAGATGCCCCTGTGGATGTAGTATAAGCACCAGAAAATTTAACCCCTAAAACACTTCTGTTTTCGAGAAAAATTGAATATAACAATTTACCGTTGCTCCCGGTAAATTTTGATAAATTTCAAATAGCGCTTACGGCCGTACAACGGTAGCTGCGACCATGAAAATCTCAGAATATGTAGTTGTGATATTTAATTTCCAAACGGGAATAGCTAATCGGTTGATTGTAGTCAAGAAACATTGTGTCATAGCTTAATTAATATCTTGACCCTGAGAGGGAGCTATACAACATACAGAGTTTATTATTTACAGTTTCATAACTTTAGACTCGATTTCAACCGCGACAACGCATATACTTCCAATATGTTCATTTGAACCAAAGTCATGACCCCATACCAAAACTTTGTATTTTTTAACAAAGTGTATGAATTAAACGACTATGTAGACTGCACGCACACTGCACATCATAGGCTGTGTATTATAGCTGTTTCAAGACAGCCGAGACGGACCGAGCTAGGCTCGCCTCAAGATTATATGGGAATGCGTCTATAGCAGACGATATAAAGCACCCTCCTTCTCTCTTCTTTTCGTGAGACGCATTCTGTAATGTCTCGTCTTGAAGCGCTTCCTGCTCGCGAGGTAAATTCTGACTCGTTCCTGCCACATTTTGTCAATTTTGAGGCATTCCAATGTACTTCCATAGCCTGTCTATAGGCTGTGTATTATAGCTGCTCCTAAGACAGCCGAGACGGACCGAGCTAGGCTCGCCTTAAGATTATATGGGAATGCGTCTATAGGTGTTAAATCTAAGTCTGTGCCAGCAGACGATATAAACCACCCTCCTTCTCTCTTCTGTTCGCGAGATGCATTATTTGATGTCTCGTCTTGAAGCGTTTCCTGCTCGCGAGGTAAATTCTGACTCATTCCTGCCACATTTTGTCAGTTTTGAGGCATTCCAATGT